ATTATCACCATTTCACTGATAAGAAAACTGAGACACAGAGATGTCAGGTAATTTCCTCAAGGTAACATAGCAAGTAGATGCTTAAAAGACTGAAAAACTCACTGCCTTATGATACTGACTTATGGTGACTCCGTAAGACGGGGTAGAACTGCCTCTGGGAGTTTCCAAGACTGTAACTTTGCAGGAGTAGAAAGCCCAGTAGGCTGGTAGTTTTGAACTGTTAACTTTGCAGTTAGCAGTCCAACCAGGACTCCTCATAAACCTTCCTAAAATCTAGGACACCACCTTCGCTTGGGGTTCAAGGAAAGCACAGCCACACAGAGTTGAACTCCTGTATTTCAGGCAGTTTGCTTTCTGTCCATGAGCCTGAACCAGGATTAGTGCCTGAAATTTGCACAAGTAGAGACTTCACATGTTCCTTAGTTTGTCCCTTGAGTACAGTGGCAGTATGAAGAAGCTTTAGCCTCCAGCCTCCATTTCCAACCTAATTCCAATCTCTTTCTACCCCCACCCCTCCAGGGAAATGCTGGCATCTTCCTCGCTTCCCAGATACGAGTTGTCTTTGTTGTTTTCATATAGAAACCTAGTAACAATCAGTTGGATTCTAGGTGTCTTAGGCCACCTATGCTTTCATTTGAATATAAAAGCATGCAGTAAAACCATCCTTGGATCACAAAGATCACTTATTGCCATTGGGATGTGAGTTTTTTCACTTCCTAAATGCGCTCCTCCCGCAGCTCATGATGGTTCCTGCCGTTTGATGACCTTTCCGAGGGCCCAGCTCTGGTGTCTCAAATGCCTCTTTAGAACCATCCTTTCTCCAGTCCTGGCCTTCGGGGTTTAATATTCATTATGTCAGGCTGAAGGTGGGAAACAGATTTTTTTTAACTCTTGATGTTTATCCCAGATTTTCCATCATATCAGAAAGAATCATACCATTATTACCACAATGAATTTTAGAACATTTCTTCTTCCTTGTACTCATTGTTATTAGTGTAAATATTTCTTTCTTAATTGTAGCAAAAATATACGTAACAAAACATTCTCCATTTCAACAACTTCTACATGTATAATTCAGTGCCATTGATTATACTGTGCATGTTGTGTAACCGTTATTGATATTTGTATTAGTTTTAGAGAACTGTCCTAATTTTTATTTATTTTACTTTTCTAATTTACTGATTACTGTTGGAGGGCAGGCCCCTCTCTCAGCATTTTACATACCAAAAATCCCCACTGCCATCGAGTTGATTCCAGCCCTATAAGAGAGAGTGGAACTGTTCTGTAGGGAATCTGAGAAACTACATCTTTACAGCAGCAGCCTCCTCTTTCTCTCAACGAGTGACTGGTGGGCTTGAACCACTGACCTTGGAGTTAAGAGCGCATTGTGCCTTCAGGCCACCTTTAATTTACAAACATGAATTCCTCTAATTCTCTTGATGACTATATTCTATCTTGAAAGTGAAAAAATTGGGCTTGGCCCTGTGATATACCCACATTCACAAAGAAAGTTCCTCAGCAGAGGAAACTTTTCCCATGTTGGCCCAGGCCTGGGAGATCCATTCTTGGTGTGCTGTACTGGCTGTAGGAAAAACAGACACCGGTAACTCTGTGGCAGAGACATAGGGCAGACATGTGGCTAGTTTGATCACTGTATATACTAATGTATAAGCTGAGTTTTTCAGAAAATTTTTAATGCAGTGTTTGTGGTAAAATCAGGTGCCTCGGCTGATATTCAGGTCGGCTTATACTTGAGTATATACGGTAAGTGATTAAAACTCAAGATTTCAAGTCTCCTCCGGAGTATATCATTCTTGGAGGACATATTCTGAATTCCCTTCACCTCTGCCATAGTGGTTTTTATGCTTTCATGGGACTTGACTTTGCTCTAGATATTAAAATAAGTCAGAATTTACTGCAGAAGCATTTGTGTGTGTGTCTTTGTGTGTGTGTGTCTCCTAAACTGAGTAATAGCCCATGGGCACAAATGGGAAATAAACAAGGTCTACACTTCTATTGGTTGCTAAGGCTAGCTGGTTCTGCTTTATTAAAATTATCCATTTTCCTGGGATTCTTTTTGTTGTGTTTTCCTTTAGACTCTCAGAAAACAGGAGTCCACTTTTTTTCTAAAACTCACAGCCAACGAGTCAATATCGACTCCTAGCGCCCCTACGGGACAGGCTAGACTCCCACCTGGGGGTTTCCGAGACTGTCACTCTTTACAGGAGTAGAAAGCCCTGACTTTCTGACTGATGGTCTCGGAGCTGTTGGCCTTGCAGTTAGCAAACTAATTTTTCAAAAGCCCCCTGGAAGCTAGTGTTCACTGCCAAGTATGAGTATCTGAGAAGGAAGGAGATAGCGATGCAATAATTTCCCGCTCTTCCTTTTAGTTTTCCCCCTTTTGCTTGAGATCCGTTTTCCCCACAGTAGGAATTACTGTATATGCTTGAGGATAAGCTGACACGAATATCAGCCAAGGCACCTAATTTTACCATAAAAAAATATGCTGAAGAACTCGGCTTCTACACAAGTATATGTGGTATATTTTAAGTTCACAGTGTCTGCCCTTTTTCTGCCCCCTCCTGTGTGCCCACAATAAACTTCCTTTTCACTGGTTGATCTCACAGGGGCCGGAGAGTCTATGTCCAGTCTGACAGGAGCCCCAGAAGGGGCTGTAGAGCTGGGTTAATGAGTGAGCACAGGCCAGGGCCACGCAGGGCCCGGCTGAGCTGGGAGAGAATATTTTCCATGTGGGATCAACTGGCTCTGGAAGACCTGTCTGTCATGCCAAAGAAAGTGGCAGCCCAGGATGAGAAGGAGGCTGGAAACATGGGGAGTGGGTGGTGATCTTTAGCCCTTGCCTTGCTTTGCTGAGTGCCTTTGATGATATCTGCCTTGGGTTGGGTGCGTGCGAGGGTGTGGGCTGACCAGGATGGAAACAGAAGGCAGTCCTAGCAGCAATTTTTCCTCCCTGTGGATACATTTGAAAATCATTTTTTTAAGACTTGGGTTTTCTTATGCACTTCTGTCGAAATGTCGTTTTATCTTGACTCAGATGATGGTCACATTTTCACTGGGCAAAGGGATGAAGGCATGATATCGTTACTGTTAGACTACTTCCCAAATGATATTTTGTTACTGAAAGTGATGGCAAACCTCAGGGCTAAATCTGTAAGGTACCGATCAGTAGATGATGTGCAGCTAGACTGATGTTCTAGGGCTCTACACAACGGTAGTTTTCGGTTTTGACTAGACTCCAAGCACAGCTGTGCCCTTCATGGGCAGTCGGCATGTGCTGAACACGCTCGTTTTTGAATATGTTACGTGTATAAGGATGGGAGAAAGACAAAGCCTTCTACTCCCTAAAAGAGTTAGTCTTGGAAACCCACAAGGGCAGTTCTACCCTCTCGGGTTGCCACGAGTCGGCATCAACTTGATGGTAGAGCGTATATAAGGAAGTTCAAAGACACCTTAATGATGTCATTGAAGCCTGATTAGGCTGTTCTATTAAGGTTTTTCTTTAACTCTAGAAATGTTTGTCTCGTTTTCAGAAAAGCAACTTTGGGATCATTCCTGTATGTAGGGATGGCTTTGATGCAGTGCAGGTTCAGTGGCAGGAGTCCCACTTTCCATATGGGAAACTGGGGATGCATGCCCAGACAGTGCCCTTTGGGTGCAGCCACTAGCCTTCTGTCATGGGAGGAGTGCATGTCCCTTTGATGCTGAAGTCAGCCAATGAACGCAAGGGATCACAGCGTCTGCTCCACAAGGGACCAGGGGAGAGGGCAGGGCCCACCAGTGTTTTCTTCCGTTGTGCATGGGGGTCCCTGTGAGCACCTTACAACAGCAGCAACAGTAAGGGTGATGCTTTCCTCTCACTCCAGCAGTCACTTTTAACAGTTTGGGTGCTGATTTAGAAGAGCAGATATTTGGATTATGTTTTTTGTTATGTTTTGCTTGTCTACCCCGCACCCCCTAGTTCTTAGTATCCTTTTGTAGTTATGATATCAACTTTTTCTATGTTTCAGCCCATAACATGACTTTCCATGCCCTTCTGTTCCATGATGGCCTACATTTTAAAGAGCAGGGATAAAAAACCCTAAATAAATGCTGCATAAATCTAAGAATATTTTAATTTGACTGCAGAGTAGTATCCAGTGCCCTCATCATTAAAAAAAAAAAAACCTGGACATTTGTGTGTGTGGTCATTTATTCTTATTATTTGTGAGCTTTACAGAAAGCCAGGGCAGCTCTGACTTCTCACTCTTCTATAGTCAGATTGCCATCACACAAGGGAATGGTGATATTGATAAGCCCACGGCCACGGAGTCAATTCCAACGCATAGCAACACTAGAAAGGGTTTCCAAGACCATTGTCTTTAGAGGAGCAGACAACCTCTTCTTTCTCCCATGGAGAGGCTGGTGGGTTTGAACTGCGGGCCTTGGGGTTAACAGGCCAATGCTTACCTGACAGCGCCGCCAGGACTCCTTTAGAACCCTAACCAAAATAGTGGTTCTCTCGTTGACTCTGACTCCTGGTAAGCCCATGTGGGTCGGAGTAGAACTGTGCTCCCTGGGCTTTGCAAAGGCTGTTTCCCAAAGCCGCCCTCTGAACCACCAACACTGCACAACAGCTGGTTTTGAGGAGTGAAAGAAAGTCAGGCCTTTCTCTCGAGATTCTTCTGCATGGACTCAAACCCTCCAGCCTTTCAAGTCAGAGTTGAGTGTTAACTATTTGCACCATGCAGAGACTACTCTCAGGACACAGTGCTTAGCAAGCAGGTGTTAGAAAGTATTCTTGGAGGGGATGGAATCAGATTGTCCCAGGGCCATCTGATGGCACATGGGAGAGGCCCGGTGGCTGTTTCTCCCTCTAGGAAACTTTGGTTTCAGAACCAGCAGAGGGGTAAGAAGACTCCACAGCAGCACTGCAGGGCTCTGCATTACCCCTGTCCTCCCGCTGACCACCATTCATGCCATGCCTCTCTCCCTGCTTACAGGAGCTGTGCCGACAGCACATGGCCGGGAGGTCCTCGGAGCGCCCAGAGCCCCTGCACACTTCCCGAATCAATAGTGTCTCCTCGCAGTTCAGTGATGGGCCGATGCCCAGCCCCTCAGCTCGGAGCAGCACCTCGTCCTGGTCAGAGGAGCCGGTCCAGTCCAACATGGACATCTCCACCGGTCACATGATCCTGGTAAGGCTCGTGCACTTCCATGTCAGGGGGAAAGCCTTCTTAGGAATTTGCTCCCAAGACACATTCATGTTTTTATTGTTAGGTGTCACTGAGTCAGTTCTGACCCATAGCGACCCAGGACACAAAGGGCTGAAACACATTGCCCTTTCCTGCGCCATCCTCACACCTGTTCCTATGCCTGAGCCCATTGTTGTTGCCGTGATGTCGTTCCATCTTGTTGAAGACCTTCCTCTTTTTTCGCTGCCCCTCCACTTTACCGAGTATGATGTCCTTCTCCAGGGACTGGTCTCTCCTGTCAACATGTCCAAAGTATGGAACATGAAGTGTTACCATCTTTAGAGTCTATGACACATAATAGCAACTTGTCTCTCTCCGTCTCTCGTTTGTAAACATAGCAATAGAATTGATGAACAAGGCTTACCTTTTTAGCAAGTTGGCCGGCAAGTTGAAGAGCAGCCCAAATACCCAGGTGATCTCTGCAGTCCCTCCTCTGATGTAAATGAATATGAGAACTTACACTGGAATTCCTTCCATTCTTCTGCTAAGGATGCTTAGCCCACACCCATACTTAATCATGCATAAGGTTTTTTATTGGTTGTTTTGCTCTTAATGCTGGGAACACACATCTATTAGTGCCTACTGTGTGTGTTGCTTTTTTTTAGCCTTCTGACTCATAAACAGCAGTTAGTGCTTTTCCCCTCAGTGCCCAGCTCACCAAGAATCATTTGGATAAATAAATGCCACTCATGTGCTGCTTATAATTCCACGTGTCACTGGCAAGGGTGGAGGGTTTTCATGCCTTTCTCCTTGGTAAGGAGGCTTTCTGGAGGGATTCACACAGAAGGCCTCCCTGGCGGGGGCCTTCAGAAGTGGCTGCACCGTTGTCTTGACTCTCCCCATGCTGAGGGTGGTTAGCAGCAATAGCCCTCACTACTGTGGATTGCCGCCTGATGCATAATTAATATTCGAGTTTTATTAAGAAAGATGTTCATAATTTAGCACTTCTTATTCGGCTATATCCTGAAGGCAGAAGAGTAAAGCTGTTTGGGATTTTTAAGCGGCAGGCACCTTCGTGGTGAGTCAAAGCAGAAATACAAAGCAGCTGAGCTCTGTTATTGTTTTATATTAGAGACAGAACTTCCTGTTGATAGAAAGAGCCTTGTGCCATGGCCAGGCCGAGGCAGCTCCTATACTTAGGATTAGAGAGAAGTTTCATTGTGCAGTTAAGTTTTAAGTCTTGAGATGGACCCTGCCAAGTGTTTTTTTGTTTTAGATATATTGCTTTGTTTTGTTTTTAACTTTCTTACCTGACTATTTAATGATGACATAGACTGGTAGAATTTGACCACAGAAAGTCTGAAGACCATCTTTCCACTCGGTGGAGATGAGCATCATGGACTGCTCTGGTGATGTTATGAGGCAGTTGGGTATGCTTACATCTCTCCAGGGGAAAGCACTATTGGCCCTTCACACTCCTGGATGTTGAAGCTTTGTCACACCATTCAAAACCTATTTGGACCAGATATGTGGGAAGACTGGTGAATGCAGCAATCCTCCTCAAAAATCACTTCAAACCAACCAAAGTCCAGAAGGTTTAGCTTTGCTGATCACAGAAGCTGGCATTTAGTCAGAATGGTTCTATAGCACTTTGGTCACAGCTTTCTAGGACATGGTTTTACCCTCTTTTTTTTCTAGGCTCTACCTTACTCACCAAAATTTACATCTCTCCTAGAATGGAGAGTCTCCCATGATGTAAAGTCACCTACCAATCAGTGGTCTTCCTGTGGACTTGGTTGCATAGGGAATTCTTCTATGTTTGAGATCCAGGGGCAGAGAAGTTCATTTAACAGATATTTATTGGGTTTCTTTGGTGTCCCAATAGTGGTTATGTTACTGTAGATCTGCCTTTTTATGGAACATATGGACATTTGTCCATTTTAGGAAAGGAAATTAGGTCAAAAGTTTAGAGTTCAACTGAGAACCAATATTGGGGGTAAACCCCCGAGTCTATTAAGTTTATCTGCCAAGTTCGCTAGAGGGAGCTTTATTGAGAGAACTTTCATTGTTATATCCTTTTCCTCCTTTTTCAATATATTATTGCTTTTTAGGTGACAGTTTACACAGCGCATTAACTCACAATTAACAGTTTTTCACAGGTGGTTTCATGATATTGATTCCAGCTTCCTCAGTGTCAACAGTCTCATTATTTCAATTCTGTTGTTCCGTTTCCATTGATCTAGCTTCCCTTGTGAACTTTGCCTTTATTTAATGCTTATTTTCCCATTACCACATTTCATAAGTGTCTGCTATCTACAAAGCGATCTTCCTTCCATCATTCCCATCCCTGATACTATCAAAGAACATTTTATATGTATATCGATTTCTAACTTTTAATAATAGTGGGGCCATCCAATATGTATCCTTTTTTGATTGACTGGTTTTACTCAGCACACCGTCCTTCAGATCATACAGATGTTTTATGGAGCCCTCATTATTCTTTATAGCTTCCTAGCATTTCATTGTTTGAATGTCCCAGAATCCAGTTATCCATCCATTCATTGATGAGCACTTAAGGTGTTTTCATCTTTTTTGCGATTGTGAATAATGCTTCGATGAACATTGAGGTGCACATTTCTATTCATATCACTGCTCTTATACCACTTGGATAGAAAGAGTGGAATTGCTGGGTAAGAAGATATTCTACTGCTATTCCAAATTCTAAGGAGCCCTGTTGGCATAGTGGGCTTTGCACGGAGCGACTAACTGCAAGATCAGTATTTTGAACCCATTAATCACTCAATTCACGGGACAAAGATCAGGCTGACGGTTCTCAGAAAGATTTAAAATCTTGGAAACCCAAAGGGCAATGCTACTCTATCCTTTCGGGTCACTATAAGAATCAACTCGATGGCAGTGAGTTTTGGATGGCAATGAGTTTATTCCTATTTCTAGCTTTTGAGAACGCATCCTTACCATTTCTCAGTGTGTGGTCCCATTTCACAGCCCCACCAGCAGTGTATAAGAGGTCTGTGCCTTTTGCCCACTTCTCCGCTAGGTTGTTTGTCTTTTTTGTTGCATTATTGAAGTTTTCTATATGTCTGGAAATTAGACCTTTGTCAGTTGTACCATTTCCAAAGACTTTCCCCAGTGTATAGGTTCTTTTTTCACTCCTTTGTTAAAACCTTTTTTATCCCTTCACATTTTATTTATTGTGTTATTGTTAAGAATGTACACAGCAAAACCTTTTGATGTGCATAAATCTTTACTTTTTAGGAGGCCCCAGGTATCAAATTTCTCTTGTTATTTATTCATTGTTTGTCATATTTAATAGGTTATTTATGTCAAAAATTAGGTACTCTAGTTTTGTTTCTATATTATCTTCCAAGAATTTTACAGATTTAGTTTTGAAACATGATTTTTATTCATTTTGAATTATCTTTCACACGTGGTGGAAGGTTGATTTCCTTCTTCTGGAAATGGATGGCCAGTTTTTTCAGCGCCATTTGATAAAGAGTTTCTTTCTTCCCCATTGAATGGACTTTAACCATATGTTGACGACCAATTAATTGCCTGTACATGAGTGGATTTATTTCTGGGTTCTCAATTCTGTTCCACTGGTTTATGTGCTTGTCATTGAGCCAGTACCAGGCTGTTTGATTACTTTGTCTATATAGTAAGTTTTGAAATCAGGAAATGTGAGGCCTTCTACTATTTTTCTTCTCCTATACTGCTTTACCTACTTGGGGCCTCTTTGCTTCCAAATAAAGCTGGATAATGCTTTTCTTATCTCATTAAAGAATTTTGTTGGGATTTGGAACATGATTGCATTATATCTATAGATCACATGTGATAGTATCGACATTTTCACATTAAGATTTCCAAACTAAGAACATAGAATGTTTTTCCATTTATGTGTATCTCTTCATTTCCTGCAGTGGCATGTTATAGTTGTCCTTATACATGCCATTCTTGACTCTGGCTAGGTTTATTCCTAGGTATTGTGTCCTTTGGGGGGGCTGTTGTAGATGGTGTTGATTTGTTTTCAGTGGTCCTCCCTATTGCTGTAGAGAAACAGGACTGATTTTTTTGGTATTGATATTATATGCCACCTCTTTGCTGAATCATCTGTTAGTTTTGGTAACTTTTTTGTGTGAAGTATGTCAGAGTTTTCTATGTATATGATCACATTGTCTGTGAATAAGGATAGTTTTACTCCTTCCCAATTTGGATACATCCCTACCATCCCCTCCCCACCCCACCCCCAGCCTTTATTGCTCAACTTAGGACGTCCAGTGCCGTATTAAAGAAGAGTGGCGATAAAGGGCATCCTATCTTCCCGCATGGTTGGTGGTTTTGCTTATATGCTCTTCCTGCCTCCAAGGGGTTTTTCTTCTGTTCCTGCTTTGACGAGAGTTTCCATCAGGAAAGGGTGTTGGATTTATCAATTTAGATCATCTGGTTGATTTCCTTTGTTTTATTTACGTGTTGAATTATGTTGATTGATAGTCTAATGTTGAACCATCCTTGAATTCCTCATGTGAATTTCACTTGGTCATGGTGTGTGTGTGGGTTTGGATTTCCTTTTGATATGCTCTTGGATTCTACTGGCTAGAATTTTATTGAATACTTTTGCATCCATATTCATAAGAGGTATTGATTTGTAATGTGTTTAGTGGTGTTTTTACCAGACTGTAGTATTGGGGTTTGCTGGCTTCATAAATGAATTAGAGTGTTTTCCTTCCTTCTCTGTGTTCTAGAACAGTTTGAGTAGAATCGCCATGTCTAGAGATACTTTTATGGATTTTCTTAAGTACTTTAGTTACAATTTGGTAATATCTCAAATCTGAAAACAAACATAATGGTTAAATTTCAATTACAGACTCAAACCAAACCGTAAAACCACCACCCATCTGCCAGTTTGTTGTACTGTGGTGGCCTATATGATGTGTTGCTGGAAGCTCTGTTGCTGACATTTTAACACCAACAGGGTCACCCATTGT